TTACCTAGCTCCCGGAGACCCGGTACCTCTCGGGAGGGTAACAAGGGAAAGTGTTCAGTGCAGATCAGTGAGTAAGCACAAGCCCGCCTTGTTTCAGTACCTATGCTTAAACTGCCCCCTGCTCCCTTAGGGATGTAAATTCAGGGGGCAGGGCTCGAAGGGTGATTCGAGGGGCGGAACCCTGGGATTATCCTAGAATGTTACATTAGGAGGTGACGCTAAAGGAGTTATTCCAGTAGGCAAGTGCCAGAAGTTGAATTGATGGTTCAGAGGTGGATCGTTATCCCTTTCAGCGGGGCTTGGAATGTTATTTTTGAGGAGGTGGAGCCAGGACAGTTCTTGGGGTGGGCGGTAAGTCTAGGGGAGGGGCCTAAATCGCTAGTCAAGGGGGTGGGTCTACAAATGTTTCTGAGGCTTGAAATGACACAAATAGGATGGAGTTTAGAAGGGTAATTGGATGTGGGGCCTGGAATGTTTCTGAACCAAGTCCTGTATTATCACCCCCAGGGTGAATCTAAAGGTGTTGAGAGGGTGGGGCCTAGGTATTATTAGAGTGAGGGAGGGAGGTCTGGAGGATTATTCAAACATCTAGAACCTGATGTTAGTTAAGTAGGCGGGGTCAGGACAGTTTTTCGTGTGGGCGGAGCCTGGATGATAAATTGAGGGACAGGCCCTAGATTGAGAGGCTAGGCTAGGTTCAAAGAGTTGAGGGTAGAACGTTAACTTAAGGGAACAACCTAAATAATTTCTATGCAGTGCCCGCAACTGTGCCCTCTCAGCCTCTTCCATCCCCCAGGCGTGAGCGGGCTGGATTCTGCGGATATAGAGGTCACAGACAGTCGCTTGCCTCGTGCCTCTGTTGTGGGACACCAGCGCCAGGTATCGCCCCTGTTCTTTTATTCTAGGCCGCTGTCTTTGGGACTGGCAACCTAAGTGCCCTGTGTCTTTTCTCTAGCATTGTTGGTCAGAGACTCTAGGTACTGGTAAGACGCTACCAGGAGTGACTCAGGATGAGGCAAGTTGTGCTTCGAAACCACCCCAGACCGCTGGTAGCTTCTGTGTGGAGCTAATACGTGGTCCCATGGGCTTTGGCCTCACCTTTAGTGGGGGTAGCGATGCCATGGCCGGGGACGTGCCGCTGGCTGTGCGTGGGCTGCTGAAGGATGGGCCGGCGCAGCGTTGTGGTCGTTTGCAGGTGAGTACCAAGGAGACTTCCTTTCTCTCCTGCGTGTTATCCTGTACCCTACCTTTTGTCAGGATGCTCTCCACTAGCCCTTAATATGACACTTCTCCACTCATGCTCTTGTAGGCTGGCGACCTTGTGCTCCGAATCAATGGGGAGTCCACACAGGGTCTCACCCAGGACCAGGTCGTGGAGGGGATCCGCTCTGGCGGCCCCTGCCTCCGCCTCGTGCTCCGCAGGCCTCTTGAGACCCTTCCCAGCAAGACTGAGGGTCTGAGAGAACCCCTAATAAGAGGAGGTTGGTGGCTCGGGGGGAGGGAAGTCAGGGATATGTATGGGGCAGAAAAGTGATGTCACTAGGGTTCGTGTCACCCACCCATTTTGGTAACTCATGGTGTTACTCCCCCCATGGACCTCCTCTCATCCATACAGAATCCTTAGTAATATTTCTTATCAATTTTAATCACAGAATAATATGTGATAAATATAGTTGTAAGTTGCTTAAGTGTAATATTTCTTAGATTATATGAATACTACCAACAAAATTGTTTTGTAAAATCTACATTGAATTAACAATGCTATTAGTTAAAACATTATTAGTAACTAAGCAGAAGCTTTTTTTGATTTTTCTTTTTAATTACTACTTCATTCTCAAAAAAAGTTATTGATATAGGTTCACAAATTGTTGTTGTTGTTATGTGCCGTCGAGTCATACCTGACTCATAGCGACCCCTCCTTGGGTTTCCCAGGCAGTATCACTACGGAAGTAGGATTGCCCAACCTTCCTTCCAAGGAGTGGCTGGTGGGTTTGAACCGCCGGTCGTCTGGTTAGCAGGCAAGTGTCTTAGCCACTATGCTACCAGAGCTCCCAGGTTCACAAATAGTACCACAATATTATAGCTAAAACACTAGGAAATTTGTCCGAATCAGCAACTATAAAAATACCAGAACAACGAAAACACCAGCTAGTGCTTGTAGCATGAGCAGATGAAACTGTGCCATTGCAGCTTCATTGTAATTGGTTAATAATGACAATTCGGACCAATCCCATTAGAAGGTTCAAAAAGTAAATTAGCATAGAGTTTTAGCCTTGTGAGTATATGGATATGTGTAAGCTGGGCTTACAAAAAGATGTTTTTGTTGTTATAATTAACTACAGGGATATTTTTAATTATAAAAATAATAAATTCCTGCTGAAACACTACACACAAATTTTAGTCATTTTGGTGTCCCGGCCTCTGACAGTGCCACTCAGTGCAATCCGCACCCACCTACACCCGTTTTAGTGACGCCACTGGAGAAGAAAAGGGGGCAGAGTGAGAGGGCGGGGTCCTCGGTACGGATTGGTTGGTGGTCTCTGAGTGGAGAAGAGCGGGAGTTGGTGTCTGCTGAGAGAGGTCTTTGTAGCAGGGCGGCGGGGGTCCCAGTACGGGAGTGATTTGCATTTCAGAGGGGAGGTGCTGGGAGGGAAAAGGAGAAAAGAGGTCTGGGGTAAACGCAAGTGTACAGAGAAAAAGATCAAGGAAGGCAAAGCATAGTGGGGAGGGGATAGGGCTTTCTAGGGGGTAGAGGAATCTAGTTCCAAAAGAGGAGAGGTTGATGAGGGAAAGTAGGGGTAAGACTGGAAGGAGGGGCAGGCGAAGGGAACGGCGGGAGTCCTAGATGGAAGGGGTTAGGAGTTTGATTTCCTTTGAGGGTTGTGGGAAATGACTCCTGAGAGGCTGTCCTGGATCCAAGAGGGGAGGGGTCTCAGTAAAGGAGGTGTCCCAGCCTTGTAGAGAGGTTTCACTAAGGGCCGGGATCTCTGTCTCCCGCAGCCCTTGGGATATCCAGGCTGCCTTCAGCCTAGGGCCTCCCTCTCGGCTTCTCACCCCACCGCCCAATCTAACCCGCAGTTCTGCCATCCCTAGATCGCAGCCCGGATCCCGAGGGACTGGAGGTAAGAAGGTCTCGCAGCGCCAGCCCTTCCCCACTTCAACACCCTGGGTCCCGGAGGACGGCCAAGACTAGGGGCGGCCCGGAGCCCAGCTCGGAGGCGGCGGATGTCTGCAGCACAGTGGTTTCTCCTCCCGAACGCCTCACGGAGGACCCCGACGATCAGACTCCTAGTTCCCCGGGACCCTGGCTGGTGCCCAGCGAGGAACGGCTCTCGCGGGCCCTCGGAGTCCCAGGAGGCCCAGAGCTAGCTCTGGAGAAGGCAGCTGATAGGCGAAGGCACTGAGCAATCCTCGGAAGGCTTGGTGCTCACTTGGTGCAGCCCCGCCCACTGCGCACTAGCAAAGTCTAGAGTTTCCACCTACTGTGGTGCACCCCTCCCCTTGCTGCGCAGTCAACTAGCCCGCGCTCCCCTTGCGGTGTCAGTGGTACGGCCCGCCCTGACCCGCAGCCCAGCGCCTCACGTCCTGGGCGGGGGAGGTAATAAAATGTCTCTAGTCTGGACTTGCCAGGTGCTCTATGTGGGGTGGGGTTGCCCAGTCCACCCCGTAAAGGGGGGGGGGTGTCAATCTGTTTTTCAGGAGAGCCTCTTCTCGTAACCACGGGCCTGCTTACTTGTGCTGTTTGTTTCATGCCTCCTGACCGGTCTTTGCTGCTCCCTGTCCCCACTTCTTTTCTCTTCATCAACTCTTGTTCCTCTCTCCATTCACACATTTCACTTTTTGGAGACGCGTAGGGCTCACAAATAATGCATTGTGCGTGGTGTGGGAGCACACAGGTGGGCCTGTTGTGGTGGAAGTGCACCAATTCACCGGGAGGCCACGCCTGGAATCGTCCAGATCCTGGAAACAGGTCTGCAGCTTTCGACAGGAGCCTGTGGTCTCTCACATCCGGCCTCCTCTGCCAGCTTTCTCAGGCACTTAGACTGCCACCGGGGAGCATGGGCTGGTGCCTTGGAGCCCCCTTTGGGGCGGGGCGGGGAAGGTGTGAGTCAGCGCCCCTGGGCCGGCCAGGCTAAAAAAGGCTGTTAGACCCTTTGGGCCGCGCCCATCTCTTCCATAAATGGTGACGAACTGTGGTCAACTGAACTTGTGTGTACACGCCACATGCTGGGCGTTCCACTCCCAGAAGACGCCCAGAGTCATCTCCACCCTGAGAACGGCGCTACAGTCACGGCTTATACAGCCAGCAGGACTCCAACCATAGTATCTCCAAGGAAGGTTCTGGATGAGGCCAGAAATGACCAGTCACCTCCGCTGTCACCATATCCTTCTGAACACTTGCTTCCATCCGCCCAACGAAGGAAGTTGTGGTCGGCCAGGAACGGGCAATTCTCCGCTGTTATGGGGAGAGAAGAGGAGAAAGAAAAATAAAAGGCCCTGAATTCGAGAGTCTAAGGTGGCTCTGGGGAGGAAAGAATGACTTAAGAGTCAGGCTGGGAGAGCTGAGAGTTAGGAGATAATGAGGTGAACACTTTAATGATTAGTGTTGTCAACATTATAGGGGAGTGTGTTTGGGTTTCCAGCTACCCCTGATTCACCTTGGTGGAGGTGTGGCTCTACCAAAGTCAAGTAAAGGCCCCAAAGCACCAATTCAATAAACAGTCACACCAGGAGACTAATAATAGTAACCCAGCCACCATTTACTTTGTCTTATCCCTCCTATGGGCTTTATCTCTTTTCATTTTCTTACATCTGTTCAACTCTGATGTATTCATTCAGCAGAGGAGGGAAGTGAGGCCCAGGAAGTGTAAATAGCTTGAGGGAGGGGGTTGAAGTAAGATTTAATTAAGGCCTGATTCCTAAACCTTAATTTCACTGGTATTTGACAAATATTGATTGAACCCCAACTATGTATCTTGCACTGTGACAGGCACTGGGGAGATCTAGGAGGAACAAATCATAAAGATTTCTACTCTTATGTAGCTGATGTTGTGGGAGTAGACGGATGTGAGACAAGAAAATGAATAAATAAAAGATAATTCAGAGAGAAATGAGAAATATGAAGATAGCCAAAGGAGGTTACTTTAGGGGAGGTAATGAATGGAGGTAGCTGGCCTCTTTTAAGACATGACCTTTGATCTAGCTGGCCTCTTTTAAGACAGGACATTTGATCTGAGACCTAAGTGACCAGAAGCCAGAGGTATGAAGAACTGGGGAAGGGTCATCAATAAGAACAGCAAGTGCAAAGACCCTGAGGCGGCACTGAGCTTGTTCTGTTCTAGAAACTCAATAATGTCCTTAAAGAGTTAGAAAGCAGACACTCAGCACTGGGAAAGTATGTTTTAGCCCTTCCACCATTCAATCACTCAGCAGTCTGAGCTGAAAGAGGGGAACCCCTTCTTTGGCTTTGAGGGACCCTGGGTTGGGAGAAAGAGCAGGAAGTCCTTTGGGTTGAACTGTCCTGGACTTCCAGGAACAATTTTCCCACTTCAAATGAGAAACCAAACTCCAGTCTGGAGAACGTGCTCCTAGGCACACCTCAGGGAATCTTGATTCCAGCTGATCAGGCACAGTCTCAGATGCAGAAATTTAGGCTGGGCTAGGAAAAATTAACTGATCAAAGTAACACACTCTGCAAATGTCACCAGCATTATCACACCCCAGGAACTATCCCCTCATCTTGCCAAGCCCTCAGCAATAAATCTGTGATCCTTCACCATCCCTCCTCTAGGGCTCAATTGACAGCTCCTCCCCTCAGAACCAGGAAACTGAGACTGAGAATTTAGGGCCAAGATTTGCCCATCTAGGAACAGAGTCAGATCCTGGGTCCTCTGGGCTATGGCACAATGTCCACAGCCATTTACTGTGTATTTGATGCTCACCAGGCTCTATGCTCTTGCACCGCACACTCATTTCATCTCCTATCACTGTTAGGTTTATTTCATGGCCTACAATCTTTTATATGCAATCTTGATGTTCAAAAAGCTCTGAAACCGACAATTTTTCCACAAGTTTAGTACCATTTGGTTACAAAGCCTGACATGACCTAACAAGGGACAATTTTCAATTTTTACTTATCCGGCTTATTGAGAACACTCGTACCCTTTCATTGTGGAAATACAAACGTGTTTTCTTTCTTTTCTTCTTAAAACGGGTCAACTCCCGACCCCACTGAGTGTTAAATAATGTATTGTACATGCAGCACAGTTTTTCTGAAATTAGAAATATTCCAAATTCCGGAAATACACCTAGCTGTATTGATTACAGCTAGGTGTCCAGGCTACACCTAGGGTCTTTCCGTTTTAATCATTATCCATTTTTACAGCTAAGGAAACTGAGTCACTCCTCGGAGTCAGATTCCTGAATTGAGGCAGCCTCCAGCACATTTATATTCTACAAAAGGCGAAGAGTCTCGCCATCATCACGCCTGGTACCCTGAGCTGCCAAGCCTCAAAGGCAGGCGCACTCCAGAGATGGGGTGCCCCGGGGGTTGTGTGCGGGGACAAGAGTACCCTTGGAGGGCGGGGCGAGGGGGCTTCCGGGCGGCAGCCACCTGGCCCGGCCCCCTCTGGCCCCGCCCACTTCGGTTCCGCGCGGTGATTCACTCCCTCCTTCGCCTGGCTGCCCCCTTCCCCGCCAGACGACTGGCACTACAGCTGGGTGTGCAGCGTCTTCGAAACTGCGAGCAAGCGAGCAGATCCCCTGCACCCCCAGGGACTACAGTCCACACCATGGCAGACTCCGAGCGCCTCTCGGCTCCCGGTTGTTGGATTGCCTGCACCAACTTCTCGCGCACCCGAAAGGGAATTCTCCTGTTTGCTGAGATTGTGAGCTTCCCGGGGCAGGATGGTGGGCACAGGCGGAGCGGGG